GAGGGTTACGGGGGTTCGGGGGTTCAGGGGTAAAAAGGGTCACCAAAATGCTGCCGCTCATTGTGTAAATAAAGGATCAGAGCCAAATGCAACCAACTGTCACACGTCCATGCGAAATTAATAAATTGCATTTTCGCGTAAAATTTTTTTTTTCTTTTTTTTTTGCCAATTTTTGAACCCAAAAATAAAAAAAGGAGGAAAATTTCAATTTTTCGGGTGCAGAAGGGGTTGTGCGACACATTAACTGAACCCATTAATAAGCGTAGCCAACCCCGGATGACACGTGGGTCAATGTCGCCCGACCTGGAAAGGACGAAGGACGCAGGACATTGCCTGACAGGCAGCGCGAAAATGGGTGAAAAAATTCACAATAAGGGAACCAGCAAAAAATAACAAAACAGTAGGAAAAAAAGGAAGCCCCGTTAAAATTCTCACTCGATTAGAAATTGGGATTTTTCAATAAATTGGCACAGAAACCTTGGCAATTCTTTTTTCCTTTTTTTTTTTGTTTGCAGGCAATAATCCTCTTAACTGCGACTGTCGCAAAAATGTAACAAAGAAAAATGGAAATGTTACATAGGGGCACCCAGAGCTGCTGGTTTTCCTAGTTAAATAAATGGGATTTTGTTTTTGGAACAAAGGCGGAAGTAGCAGCGCCTTGGATAAGCCGCTAACTAACAAGGACCATGCCAGTGAATACTTAAAAAAGCGAAAAACTGGCGAGCTCGCGCTTATCCTTCGAATGCTTATCCCTAAGGGCTTTCCTTAAATTACAAAATTAACAACATTTGACAGAGTAATAAAACTGCCAAATAAAAACTTATTAATGCTTCATCGTAGTAATAACAGTATTTGTTTTTTATATTTATAAGTTTTTGTTTAATTTATATGCACTGATTCGAATCACACATTTAAATTCCCATTTCCCCACTATGTTGAGTTACCTTTTGGGATGCCACTTGACAGCAAGCATTATCCAACACTAGTTCCCACGATTTAAAATGCCCCAGTTAAAATATTTCAATTTCAAACTTAAATATATTTATGCCAGGTAATAATATTAAATTTGATGCAGATTTGCTGAGAATTGTTCTACGAATCGTTTAAGGTACTTCGCTCAAGAATCGGATGAATATTTCCAAAGATATGGCCTTAGCAGGGGGTCAATAATGTCATTTCCATGCATTTGCGAAAAATTAAAGAAGACCCCCCAGGAAATTTGAGAAAAAATCTAAAAAATATTTTGTATTCAGATTTTGATGCAGATTCGCGGAGAATTGTTCCACGAATCGTTTAAGGTACTTCACTTAAGAAACGGATGAATATTGCCAAAGATATGGCCTTCGCAGGGGGTCATAATGTCATTTTCATGCATTTCCGGAATTTTGAAGGGGACCCCCCAGAAAATTTTAGAAAAAATCTAAAAAATATTGTGTATTCAGATTTTGATGCAGATTTTCTGAGAATTGTTCTACGAATCGTTTAAGGTACTTCGCTCAAGAATCGGATGAATATTTCCAAAGATATGGCCTTCGCAGGGGTCATAATATCATTTCCATGCATTTGCGAAAAATTTAAGGGGACCCCCCAGAAAATTTTAGAAAAAATCTAAAAAATATTTTGTATTCAGATTTTGATGCAGATTTTCTGAGAATTGTTCTACGAATCGTTTAAGGTACTTCGCTCAAGAATCGGATGAATATTTCCAAAGATATGGCCTTCGCAGGGGTCATAATGTCATTTCCATGCATTTGCGAAAAATTTAAGGGGACCCCCCAGAAAATTTTAGAAAAAATCTAAAAAATATTTTGTATTCAGATTTTGATGCAGATTTGCTGAGAATTGTTCTACGAATCGTTTAAGGTACTTCGCTCAAGAATCGGATGAATATTTCCAAAGATATGGCCTTCGACGGGGGTTATAATGTCATTTCCATGCATTTGCAAAAAATTGAAGGGGACCCCCCAGAAAATTTTAGAAAATATCTAAAAAATATTTTGTATTCAGATTTTGATGCAGATTTTCTGAGAATTGTTCCACGAATCGTTTAAGGTACTTCACTTAAGAAACGGATGAATATTGCCAAAGATATGGCCTTCGCAGGGGGTCATAATGTCATTTTCATGCATTTCCGGAATTTTGAAGGGGACCCCCCAGAAAATTTTAGAAAAAATCTAAAAAATATTTTGTATTCAGATTTTGATGCAGATTTTCTGAGAATTGTTCTACGAATCGTTTAAGGTACTTCGCTCAAGAATCGGATGAATATTTCCAAAGATATGGCCTTCGCAGGGGTCATAATGTCATTTCCATGCATTTGCGAAAAATTTAAGGGGACCCCCCAGAAAATTTTAGAAAAAATCTAAAAAATATTTTGTATTCAGATTTTGATGCAGATTTGCTGAGAATTGTTCTACGAATCGTTTAAGGTACTTCGCTCAAGAATCGGATGAATATTTCCAAAGATATGGCCTTCGACGGGGGTTATAATGTCATTTCCATGCATTTGCAAAAAATTGAAGGGGACCCCCCAGAAAATTTTAAAAAATATCTAAAAAATATTTTGTATTCAGATTTTGATGCAGATTTTCTGAGAATTGTTCTACGAATCGTTTAAGGTACTTCGCTCAAGAATCGGATGAATATTTCCAAAGATATGGCCTTCGCAGGGGTCATAATGTCATTTCCATGCATTTGCGAAAAATTTAAGGGGACCCCCCAGAAAATTTTAGAAAAAATCTAAAAAATATTTTGTATTCAGATTTTGATGCAGATTTGCTGAGAATTGTTCTACGAATCGTTTAAGGTACTTCGCTCAATAATCGGATGAATATTTCCAAAGATATGGCCTTCGACGGGGGTTATAATGTCATTTCCATGCATTTGCAAAAAATTGAAGGGGACCCCCCAGAAAATTTTAGAAAATATCTAAAAAATATTTTGTATTCAGATTTTGATGCAGATTTTCTGAGAATTGTTCTACGAATCGTTTAAGGTACTTCGCTCAAGAATCGGATGAATATTGCCAAAGATATGGCCTTCGACGGGGGTCATAATGTCATTTTCATGCATTTCCGGAATTTTGAAGGGGACCCCCTAGAAAATTTAAGAAAAAATCTAAAAAATATTTTGAATTCAGATTTTGATGCAGATTTGCTGAGAATTGTTCTACGAATCGTTTAAGGTGATTCGCTCAAGAATCGGATGAATATTGCCAAAGATATGGCCTTCCCAGGTGGTTATAATGTCATTTCCATGCATTTGCAAAAAATTGAAGAGGACCCCCCAGAAAATTTAAGAAAACATCTAAAAAATATTTTGAATTCAGATTTTGATGCAGGTTTGCGGAGAATTGTTCTACAAATCGTTTAAGGTACTTCGCTCAAGAATCGGATGAATATTGCCAAAGATATGGCCTGAGCAGGGGGTCATAATGTCATTTCCATGCATTTCCGAAATTTTGAAGGGGACCCCCCAGAAAATTTTAGAAAAAATCTAAGAAATATTTTGTATTCAGATTTTGATGCAGATTTTCTGAGAATTGTTCTACGAATCGTTTAAGGTACTTCGCTCAAGAATCGGATGAATATTGCCAAAGATATGGCCTTAGCAGGGGGTCATAATGTCATTTCCATGCATTTCCGAAATTTTGAAGGGGACCCCCCAGAAAATTTGAGAAAAAATCTAAAAAATATTTTGTATTCAGATTTTGATGCAGATTTGCTAAGAATTGTTCTACGAATCGTTTAAGGTACTTCGCTCAAGAATCGGATAAATATTGCCAAAGATATGGCCTACGCAGGGGGTCATAATGTCATTTCCATGCATTTGCAAAAAATTGAAGGGGACGCCCCAGAAAATTTGAGAAAAAATCTAAAAAATATTTTGTATTCAGATTTTGATGCAGATTTGCTAAGAATTGTTCTACGAATCGTTTAAGGTACTTCGCTCAAGAATCGGATAAATATTGCCAAAGATATGGCCTACGCAGGGGGTCATAATGTCATTTCCATGCATTTGCAAAAAATTGAAGGGGACCCCCCAGAAAATTTTAGAAAATATCTAAAAAATATTTTGTATTCAGATTTTGATGCAGATTTTCTGAGAATTGTTCTACGAATCGTTTAAGGTACTTCGCTCAAGAATCGGATGAATATTGCCAAAGATATGGCCTTAGCAGGGGGTCATAATGTCATTTCCATGCATTTCCGAAATTTTGAAGGGGACCCCCCAGAAAATTTGAGAAAAAATCTAAAAAATATTTTGTATTCAGATTTTGATGCAGATTTGCTAAGAATTGTTCTACGAATCGTTTAAGGTACTTCGCTCAAGAATCGGATAAATATTGCCAAAGATATGGCCTACGCAGGGGGTCATAATGTCATTTCCATGCATTTGCAAAAAATTGAAGGGGACGCCCCAGAAAATTTGAGAAAAAATAAATTGCTGAGAGTTGTTCTACGAATCGTTTAAGGTACTTCGCTCAAGAATCGGATGAATATTGGCAAAGATATGGTCTTCACAGTGGGTAATAATGTCATTTCCATGCAATATAACATTGGCAAAGATATGGCTTTCGCAGATATGTATGTACATATGTATATACATACATAAATACATCGCTGTAGGGGATCTTTATTAAAAGTAATACCTACTTGCATAATATACACTAATCCTGATTCTGACCTGATCCTGGACCATCTATATCCCATGAATTGGCTAGCTTTATAATCATGCAATATTCAAAGGAATTTGTTTCGTTATATCTCTTCTTCGCATTAATATATTTCAATTTTCTTGATACATATTATGTATACATACATATATGGATTTTAGGTGTGTGTACCTATTTGAGTGTGTGGGTCGGGGATCGGGATATCCGAACAGTTTTTTGAGTAACGTTTACCTAGCATTATGGTTTCCTCGAGGATCAAGATTCTAGGAAGTAGCGACATTAATTTCGAGTAATATTGAACCGATTTTGGACTTCCACTTGGACATTTAGTTTTTGAATCAATTTTATTAAGTGTATTTTTATTGTGTAGTGTAAATGTATATATTTAAAACATAAATCAAGCATCTCACATAACCATCCATGTTTATACATTTTAGTGTTGGCTTTAACTTTCATATTACGGTTTTCTTTGTCTATACTAAAACTAATTCTAAACACCTTCCAAGTTCCAGACATAATGCGATTTTGACTGCCGCCGGCCGGTGCAATCTGGGCTGAGATCCCTCCTGGCAGCCGAATGCGAAACGGACCGATGGAACAATTTGATTGATTAATTGAAATGAGCTGGTGTGGCGTGACTCTCCTCCTTGCCGGGCAGCTCGGGCGAGCAGTCCGTTAACGAGAAAATTAATATTTTTTTGTTTAGTTTACTGGAGTGTAGAATACATATGCTAAATGTAATTATATATTGAATCATGGGTCGTCGGTTATCCCTGTCATCTGCAGGCATCCAGGTCGGTTTCGGGGAGTCATTGGGGGATTTTTATTAAAAGTGTATGTGCGTGCGTAAGTCCTCCAGAGACCTTAGGCGCATCCGTAGCTAAAACCTTAAACCAAATAATGAAATAGTTAATAGATAGTTTCTATAATGATTTAGTTGTATGCTTACCAGTCCTCATCGCATGTGGCCAGTATGGTGTAGTGGTCACGGCCCCGCCCCTAGGGCCACTCCTAGTCGGTTTTCGCTTCCGTGAACTCCTCCAAGGCAAAGAAACTTCCGCCGGTGGCGCCGCCACTGCTACTGGCAGTACTGGTGGCCACCACAGTGCTGGAAGCTGTGGCACTGGATGCCTCTGATACTTGCACTTCCTCACCGGCCGGAGCGGCGGCTGCCTCCTTCTCATCGGCGCTAGCGGCACCGCTGGCCGCTGCCGCCTGGGCAGCCTCCAGGACCTGCTGCTGAACCTGGACGATGGGCTGGCCATCTTCCGTGTACGAAACAGAAACTGGGATACGAGTGCCGTCCTCACTGATGACATGGGCACCCTCTTCGCCGTCCTGGCCCTGCTGAATGATCAGCTGACCCTCTGCGTTCAGCAGCGAGGCGTCTATTAGCTGCTGCTCATTGTTGTCACCATGCACGAGTACCATCTGGCCGCTGCCGTCGGTCATCATCTGTAGGGTTTCGCCCTCGAGGCCCTCGCCCGATTGGAGGACGCCCACGCTTTGCAGGAGCTGCTGGATCTGTTCGGGATCTTGCACAATAATCTGGTTACCCTCAGCGTCGGTCAGGATGTGATTATCCAGCTGGAGCAGGTGACCGTTTTCGTTCACAATGAACTTAATCTGCCCACCATCCACCTGGGATTGCATGGCCTCGTCCAATTCCATGGCCACCTGTTGCTCCCCACCGGCACCTTCTTCAGCTTCGCCCTCGGCTCCGGTTCCAGAGGTTACCTCGCCCTCGGCTACTTCGGCTCCTTCCGTGGTGGTGGCAGCTGCCTCGGCTTCGGCGGAGGGTGTGTCGGCAGCTTCCCGCTTGTGTGCAGCGTCATCAGACGGATGGGCTTCTTCTTTGGATGCGACGGAGGCAGCTTCCTTCTCCTTACTGTTCTCCTCGGCCTTAGCCTTGCCCTTATCCGCGCCCGGCTTGCAGCCCGACTTGGGTTCTTCTGGAGCGGCGCCCTCAGCAGCTGCAGCTTCATTGTCGTCGTCCAAGCTGGGCATGGAAACAGGGGCAGCATTGGCCTTGCCGTCGGCGCCAGTGGCGTTGTCACCCTCGGCCTTGGCATCCACACTGCCCTGCGACTGGGACTCGTCCTCGGCCTGGTTCAGGTCGGGCATATCAATGCTGACGGAGACGGGAGCCGTGGCATTGGGGGAATCTTTGGCCGACTGATCGCCGTCTGGCTGGGGGATGGTTATGTTGAAGGTGATGCCTCCGCTGCCCTCCCGCGAAGTGATGACCATCTCGCCGCTCTTGCCGGCCGCCTTGGGGGCATCCCCACTCTCGTTCTTGTCGGAGTGAAGTTTCTCGAAGAGGCTCTCGATATCGGCCTCCGCGTTCTGTTCTCCGCCCTCTTCGCCAGCCTTTCCGGCAGCCTCTCCGGGCTCATCGCTCAGCAGAGCAGTGGCAGCTGAATTGAGGGCAGCTGCTCCTCCAGCTCCACCGCCCTTCTTGGGATCCCGCCTATGGGTCTCCATGTGGTGGTTGTAGTATGTCTCCTGGATGAAGGTTAGCGAGCAGATGCTGCACGAGAAGAAGCGAATGTTGTTCTCCGCCTCGCCACCGGCGACTACAGCGCCTCCAGCAGCCGGAACCGTATCGCTGAGGGCCTCGTCAATGGTTTCCTGGAGCAGTTTCTGGGTATTGAGGTTCTGGCTAACCGCCTGCTTGGGCGATACGGCGGATGACGCCTGGTTCTGGTGAACCTCGAAGTGCTTAACCAAGAGCTCGCGCTTGGGGAAGGTCATCGAGCAAGTGCCGCACTTGAAGTAGTTGGTCTGATGCTGCTTGGCGTGCACGGTGGCAGCCTCGCGCGTCTCGAATCGCTGCGAGCACAGACGGCACTTGAATGGCTTCGGCTTGTTGCCGGTGGAGTGCTTACGCATGTGGTCGTCGAAGACGCCCTTGTCCGTCGACTTGAACTGACAGTGATTGCACGTGAAGAGCGCAGTTCCCGATACGTTGTGTGCCTCTGAGGCGGCGGCAGCTGCAGCGGCGGCTACCGGAGCAGAACCGGCCGGTATGGTGGTGGTGCTGGTCACCAGCACATTGGTGGCATGGTTGGTCTCCATGTGCTTGCGTAAGCTGGTCTCGTTCACAAAGTTGATGTGGCACATGGCGCAAGTATTGTCCATGGCGGTGTTGTGGTCCCGCACCATGTGCTGCTTCATAGCACCAAAGTGCGGGAAGATCTTCCGGCAGGTCTTGCACTGAAACGTCTGCTGCTTGCAGGTCTCGTAGTGGGTGTTGAATAGCCGCATGTCGGAGGTCTTGTAATCGCACGAGGTGCACTTGTAGATCTTGGTAGCTTTCCGTTGGACCGTCTGCGTGCCAGCGGCACTCTGCGGCGTACCAGCCGCGATCTTCGCCTGACCTGAAAGATAAACGATGGTCAAAAATGCACCAATAATACCCCATTATAGCAGGATCTAACCTGTGGCTCCTTGCACTACTTTCCGCTGGCGCAGCTCCCCAGACGGACTCTCCTCAAGTGATCGGTTGGCGCCGGAGGCCGTCTTCTGCATTTTGAGGGGCGGGCTAGACTCCAGACCCACGTCCTCGTTGATGGCATACTTCTTGTTCAGCAAACTGATAAGGTTCGTTTTCACCCTCTCCACATCGTTCTCCAGTCGATCGTAGTAGTTGACCAGGTTGGTACAGCGCGAGCAGACGTAATCCTCGCCGCAGACAATCACCAGGAATCCCTCGCCCACCAGCTGGGCCAGTTTGTTGGGGAACTTGGTGGAGGTGTGGGTGGTGGTCATATCGGTAACGGACGTTTGTGGTTCACATCGCTCGTCGCAGATGTAGCAGCGCGTGGCCAGGCCGCCGGTGGCGCCAGTATCCGCATCGCTGCCGGACTGCAGGCCCTGCTGTGCGGCGGTACCGGCGCCACCGCCACTTGGCACCACGACTCTCGTCGTTTTGAGGATCCGCGGCTGGCTGGGGCCGGTGACGGTGACCGCTCCGCTATTGAGCAGATTATTAAACTTGCGGTAGGTGGCCGGGTTCAGTTGATTGTTCATTATGTGGTATTACACACGCCGTGGTCTTCGTCTTTGAAAATTTCGAGCGCAACACGCGCAACTGTAGCCGCTATCTTTTTTTTTTTTAAGTTTTTTTCACGAATGGGGGGCACTCTTCGATTGTGGCACTTGCGCGGATGTATTTTTTTCACAATTTGCGCTCCGTGAACAACAATCTTTATCGGTTTTAATTCTTGTTCGATTCTGGGTTGTCGCGGCGTCACTTTGACTGTACTAATGCCTCGATGCTGTATTTTTTAGGGTTAAAATGCGTATGTATGTATCGCTACGAAAATATGGCGGCTGTCGCGGTGGACAGGCACGGTCAGTCTGAGAAAAACTGGCAGTGCTGCAGTTTTGCATGATGGGTTATATTTGTTTAAGCAATTTATTAAATAAAAAATGTAATTATAGGGCTTGTTAATATTTCTTTCATGCTTTTTATTATTATGTAAGTTTTTACGTAACATATACATACATTTTTTTTCAGTTTTAGTGACGTGTTTGGTATGTCAAGCATGTCGGTGATATTTTTGATTTGAAAATATAGCATGACAATAAATATTTAATTAAAGACATATAAATATTACTTAAATTATCTTTTAGTTTTTCTATTCATTTATCAAAAATATATTAAAAAGCAATCATCAAAACATGATTCATGCATATCGTATCTGGTCTGTCATGCATATCGTATATTTTTAGTTTCTTTATTCACCAAAAGAGGGCGCTTTTGAGCGCGCGTTTTGAATTTAAGAATGTTGGTTAATAAAATATTTGAAATTATTTGGCAATGAGGTAAGCAGTAAATACAAGCATTTGCGCCACGATAACGGGCGACATCACTAATGTGCTAATACAGGAGTCAGATAAGATTTCGAATCGCCCTCCAAATTTAGCCATTTTTCATTCTCTCTCGTAAAGGCTTAAATTCCGATGCGTAAGGGTTGCTGGCGGTACGAGGGGTATCTGTTGCCTTATCAGCACCACCGATAATATATTATTTACCACCCGAAAGCGAACAAATGTTAAGACCCGATATATGCTTTTGGGCCAAGTGTACGGAGTCCAGTGTTTAGTCAACGAACGAAACGAATACCGAACGGATATCGACTGGAAAGCCGATCTAAAAAATATAAATAAAAATAAAATTTAGGGGCCCATTGGCATACCAAGAGTAGTTATTCAAAGCTGGCCCATTATCGCTCGGTTATCGGAAAAATAAACGACTTGCAAACGAATCGCGAAATTAATTGGCGCATGCTTGTCCATCCGGCGCGATCGTTCAGTTGGCCAACGGACGTACCGCTCACTGCAAGCGCACTCAACCCGAACCCAATCTATATACATATATAGCATATAGAATCCGATCCACACCCACCCACCACTCGATCGAAAAGTTACAGCAAAATGTATACACCGCCGGTGCCAAGCATCAAGAACTTTGGTTCCCTCAAAACGGCCGTACTCTGGGCCGGAATCCTCGGAGTGGTATGTAGTATCTCCTCACCTGGCACAATGACGCGACCGCGACCCCAATACAACGCCCCGCCATTGATAAGAGATAGCAACTTTACAACCTGTGCACTCTTCGAAATTGGATGCCCACTTGCTGGCTCCACATGATCGGGAGTTAATCGTGATATAAATTTATATAAAAATTGAGTCACCTCCTTGGACAATTCCTAGTCTGAAGTGGCTCAGATAATGACTATGGATGGCGTGTATAAACAAAAATTAAATCAAATCAAGTGTGGTATCAAAAAATTAATCTTTTAAGATCTTTTTAATAGATCTTTAAAGATCTGAAATACATAGGTTTCTAAATTAAAGTTTTATTATTAAAGATGAGAGATTTAAGAGCTAAGTGCTAAAAGTTTTACCTGTATATCTCCCCCTATTTAGGCCCAGTCTATCACCTGGATGGGTCTGACGATAACCGCCATTCTTGCCTACAATTGTATCCTCTACATCACGGATACCCTGAGCTTTGGGTCGATGGTCAAGACGGTCTTCTTCGACGTCTATTTCAAGGGTGACTGCAAAATGAAGGTGGGCAGCTATCAGAACTACGACACCACCATCCTGGACTCTGTGCAGACTGTCTTTGATCCGCAACAGCTATTGATCTGGGATTGTGTCTACTTGGGTGTTTCCGTCTGCTGGCTCATCGTTTCCTGCGTACTACTTGTCTGTGAGTATTCCCATAATAGATAGTAGATTCTTTACATTCTGTATACCTTTGGAAGCGGAAACTCCCTGAGTTATATTCGATATCGTAACGTTTTATGATTCATCTGCAAAATTCTTTTATCAAACCTGGCCAGTCCACGATAAAATAGAAATCCCCTCTCATGCTTTTGAGCTGCCTGGCCAATAAAATTAAATACACAAAAAGTAATGATAAGTTTATTTTGAAAGTTTATTGTAGATTGTAGAATGAGTTCATTGATGGTTGTTCCCATAAAAACCTTTTTTCTTTGATTCTAAATTGGCTTACTCTAAGATTTTGTGGTATTCCATATAAGAGGGAAAAATCGTATGACTTTGATTGATAACTCGCCAAATAATTAATTTCTTCAATCACATGCTTTCTTTTTCAATTAAAAAATAAATCTTTTCTTTCAGGGGTACGCAAGGACAATGTCAAGTCGACCTTGGCTGCCATCTACACCTGGGCCTTCTTCGTGGCCGCCATCTGCTGCATGGACGTGGCCTCCGGGGTAATCTTTGGTGTCGATTATGGACGCTTCAATGCCGCGGCTCTGAAGGAAAATGCCAACAGTATTAACGACGGTCCAGTGGAACCATTGGCATCCACCTTGATGGCGGGAGCCGTGTCTGCCATTTCCATGATGATCATCTCCTTCAAGGGATTCGTGCTGTGGCTCATCAACGTCGGTATGCTGGTCTACCTGCTGATCAGAGCCACTCGCATTGCCGCCGATAAGGATGGTGTGGTAAGTGACAGTCAAGGTGGAGGTCATCGATGATTTCATCGTCCACTTATGCTACGGGTATTGTCTATTCGGTTTTCATAAATTTCTCACCCAATCTGAAAGAATATTCGTAAGTGAAATTCATTGGCCAGCAGTGAGTACTACGACATGGCTAAACATAGCACCTTGGCTCCATAAACTTAGCCTGGTGGTGGTGGTGGTGGTACTCACTGCTGATAAGGCGCCACGCCAAGGCATTTTGAGACTCGACCGTTGTCGATAAATAGCTTCAGTTTGATAGCGGATTCCTGGGTTTTCTGGGTTCTAAAACACCCATGGTTGGGAGTACTCTTTTCCTTAAAAGTGGGTTCTTAGCTACCCAACGAGGGCGGTTAGAATCATGGGAAGCCCCTGGAGTACTCCAGTTTTAAAGACCAAACAATAAACATTTATTTTTTTATAGGATACATTGTTCAATCCCCGCAAGGATTCCAATGATATGCTGACCACCAGGCCTCCCATTCGAGCCTACGAGGAGGAGAAGTGAGTTCTAATAACCTATATTATTCTATATTTTAGATGATTATTTCTTTATACACATCCAGGGTGGAGATCCAAGCGTACAACAATGCCGCCTACGTGCCTGATAACCGCTCCTCGGCCGAGACGATAGAGGTGAACGAGGAGGCCATCATCCGGGCGGCGCACATGTCGATGGACTCCAATCTGTTGGACCGACGCTTCCGGGACCTCAACACCTTCCAGCAGTATCCGGCACCCAATCCCCAGGCTAGCCGTCCGCTGCGCCAGTCTTCGCAGGTCCCTGTCCAGGAGACTGTGGTGGTGGCCACGTCGGGATTCCCTGTGCCGGACTATTCCCCCCAGCCCAGTCCCAATGGCATTCTTCGACAACACCAGTACTAGATAGTTATTATCTGGCGCCCTCCATAAGCCCCAACTCTTCCATTAATTTAATTCTCAAATAATCCCCCAAGTGACAGCTAAAGTTTAGTTCAAATTTTATCAGTATGTTGTGCTGTGCACTTTATTATTATTTATTCGCATGTTAATAACAAACTAAGAGTGCAGTTGTAAATATATATAAACAATTGTTGTTTTGCACAGTATGTTTTTTTCAAATTTCATAACAGGGCGGGCTGATAAGCCGGAGATTCAATACGGCCCCCAGCAACGATTTAATTATTTAGTTCGAGATTAGCAAAAATACGCAAATGGAAAATATGACAAATTCTAGGAATTTTGTAACATTACTGGAAAATTTTCCCATATTTTTAAAATTTTATCGTTTAACCCGCCTTATCCAAGCAGAGTTGCCACCTTTTTTTCTACGATCAACTAGAGCTGCCAGTCTGTGCCTTACGATATCCACGCGTTTTGACGTTTTTTAGCTTCTTATCAGCTGCCATTTAGCGGGGTCAAAACAAAAGTTCATTAAATCGTCGAATTTGTGATAAGCTCGTTCAATATTCGACTTTCATCTCGAGAGCCAGGCATTTAACGTAAAGCGTATATTTGAGAGGCGCTCATTTGTCAACGATACACCCCCGGGAACGGTCGTAAACTTACATAGCAGGAGCGTCTGATTGCCGTCGTTTGTTTTTCCGCCTTTTTAATCGAAAAACATGGTTTTCATTACGAAATTTGCAAGAATCGGTGTCCAGGCAGCTAGGCAGCTGCGTGCCACGCCCCTCAGCGCCGTGCAGGGTCGTAGTTTCCACCTGACGTGCCTTCTAGCCAAAGGTAAGCCGGTTTATGCAACATGAAAGTTGTGAAGTCACTGATTACTAAACTGTAATCTTCTCCAGAACGTCGCTACACAGTCAAACACGAGTGGGTGGAGGTGGAGGAGGGAAACAAGGCTATTGTTGGCATCTCCAGCTATGCCCAGGAGGCTTTGGGAGATGTAGTCTTTGCCCAGCTGCCAGAACCGGGCACTACCCTGAAACAAGACGACGAATGCGGCGCCCTGGAGAGTGTCAAGGCGGCCAGTGAAGTCTATTCTCCAGTCAGCGGCAAGGTGACGGAGAAGAATGCCCAGGTGGAGGACTCGCCGGCTCTGGTTAACAGCAGCTGCTACGAGAAGGGTAAGAAAAGAGGACAACCTAAAATCCACTATTCTAACTCTTGCTCTTTCCACAGGCTGGCTATTTAAGGTGGACTTGAACAACCCCAAGGAACTGGATAGCCTTATGACCGAGGAGCAGTACAAAACATTTTTGAGCAGCAGTAGTGACCACTAGGCCAGCAGCCATCCTCCAAAGCAACAACCGAGCATTTGTTATCTCCCTAACTCATACACAGACACAGAAACACCCGAAAATCTCGCCGCCATCCAGAAACACGTTGTTGTAGCTCTTGAATATTGTTACGAATAAGAATCGACAGTAAAGCCAAATATTATATTTAAATCGGGCAGCTTGACCTGCGGGTGGCAGCGTCTCGGTCGGAAATTGTCTGCTCCCCCATGGAAACCTTCTAGCTGATAAGACTGAAGCCAAAGAGAAACGTGCCTGAGGTAGGCTCACAGATAAGGATTGAGTGAAATGAACGATTGACTTAAGAGAACTCTCAACTCGAATTCACTCAATTCTCATAATGATCAGCTTAGAGCAGCGTGTCTGTGTACATAAATTCGTCTACATTTGGCACTAAACAACGGAAAAATACTATTTTTGGTAATAATTTTGAATCATATTCATGTTGATTGTAGATTTTGAAACCTATAACCTTAGTTTAATGAAATAACTTGCAATAAAATACCATATATAATTGTTTAAGTAGTTTTTCATAAATTTTGGACTAACAGTATCGAATAGATCATTTCCCAGGGGACTGTTTAAGGGATTTCTTTGAAAGGTTTTATCTAATTTGGATTATTTGGTTGTAACTAATGGTTAAAATAAGCCTAACTTCTTTCCTAAGATTTAATTTAACCCTGAGAAGGACCTAGACTTTTGATATATTTTAAATATATAATATATCCTTCCAATAATCATTCCAAGATCAGGTATAAAAAATACCCCAAAATAACCCCTAATATTTTGCTGATGATCTGAATCTAAAACAAAATCTAATTCCCCATTAGTCACGATTAAAAGTTAATAAACGACATTGTTTATTATTAGATTATAATAAATTGTATATTATTAATTTTTATATTTAGTTTATATACCTATATTGTTTTGTATTTTTTTCAATTTATTCCCATATTTCCCATTATTTCCTATTTTATTCCCATAGTGATCCCGTGTTTATGGGACTGTCTACCGGAATGATAATGCGGATCAGCTTGGCGCGGCGTGCCAGTGCAGATTTGGAAATAACTGTTGCCGGGACATCGATCGGACGGCACACGCCACCGCCATCACCTGATTGCTGATGATGTGCAGGCCAGCCGGTCGGGGCTGTCCGGGCCGGACACACCTTCCTCTGGAAAGTTACGCCGTGCTTGAAGATAAGGACGTCGAAAGTCGCGCCTTGAAAGTGCGAACGATCACCGATGCCGATAAGGCATCCCTCTGGTCGCGCCGGCCCTGGTTTCGTTGAACTTGAAGAGCGTGCTCGGCGGGCAGTAGCAGCCACCACCGAAAGCCCCTAAAAGCTCTCCGGGGGATGCGAGACAGCTTTCCCGAAGCTTACTTCACATGGTCTGTGCTCATTCCGATTTTCGAACTCAGTCCGTGCGGTGCGAGGAGCTCGCGTGCTGCTCGCCAGAAAAATAATAAAAACAAACACACTCAGCCACACACAGCACACACTACGTTAAGGAAGGACAATTGCAAAACAGGACAATTGCAATTGCTAGACAAAGGAGCATAGTTTACAAAAATAAAATAAGCCATAATTCAACACAGTCAGGCAGACAAAATGCCAGCTGAAAAATCAATATACGATCCTAATCCGGCCATCAGCCAAAATGCGTACATATCCAGCTTCGAGGAGTACAAGAAGTTCTACCAGGAGTCCCTGGACGATCCCGCAGAGTTCTGGTCCCGTGTGGCCAAGCAGTTCCACTGGGAAACGCCCGCCGACCCTCAGAAATTTCTGCAATACAACTTCAACATCTCCAAGGGACCCATTTCGATCAAGTGGATGGAGGGCGCCTCGACCAATCTGTGCTACAATCTCCTGGATCGCAATGTCCGGAACGGATTGGGCGACCAGATTGCCTACTACTGGTGAGTTCTCAGCCTCGTCATCGAGCCCCCGTTGTCGTCCTCGTCAACCATGGCACTGGGTGGTGTAGGTCGAATGAAAACAAAAGTTGCTCGAGTGTCAGGACAGGATTATTGATTTTTCTGGTGGTTACGAAACTCTCGTCTCGTGACGTATAATAGAGGTTTTTTCCTCTTGGCCAGGATTCACTGCGCAGGCACCATAAATACCAGACCAGATGATTTTACTGAACTCCTCCTCTGAGTTTTTTTGTTAAGGATGTGCTTCAAGGACACGTAGTACCTCCTGCCATCGATTTTTTAGCTGTAGTAAGGACTTTATTTATTCCTTTGTATATCTCTGTCTATGAAAATGGAGCAATTACCTTTGTTTTGATTAAGCCCAATTGATTTAATCGTTTTCATAGCCAATGTGATGGCCTAACAACGTTTAATTAAATCAATTTTGGTGATTTTTTGAAGCCCGACTGCAGTTTGGATAGGTATGGGTACTCTGGGTCAATGTCAGGGTCACTTCTGCTCGAGACGACCCCCATAACAGCGTGACCCGGCCAAGTTTATGGGTCTAATATTGGTTAATAAACAAAACCGGTTAAAGGAGTGATTGATTTTTTGTTTATCTTTGGCTGTGAATTAGTTTTTAGCGAAATATTCATAATTCCCAGGCTATTGTTTTGTGAACTAATAAATATTAAATCAAAGTTAGTTTAAGGCCTTAGTTGGACTTTTAACTAAAGTCTATAGTATGGAATCTAGAATGTTTGTTTTTTCCCACGCGTCTGGCAAATATATGAAGAGTAAATATTAAATAATAGCTTGGGAATACTACGCTCTTCTCACTTTTAATTCAATTTTGTTAGCAATCTACATTCTTTCCTGATTACGATCCAAAAACAGACACTCCCTTTCTCCGATTACTGCCATATATAAAGTATATATACTTAAACTTTCGAGTGCCCACTCACAACGCAATTAATTTGAAATACCCCGCCTATAACTGTGGAGGGAATAAGTATTTTGTTTTGGTTTCGAGAGAAGATTCAGAGGCCCAAAGTTCGCCATCCAGTGCGTCAGGAATACAACAAAAAAAACCACAATGTTAAACAAATGTTAATGCTAATGAGCTTATCTCGGGGTTATCACTTGTTTACCGTTTGCAGGTGAAAGGGCTTCGAGGGGGACGTGTGCTGCAGGCGGCCTGCAGGGGTGAAATGCAAATGAAAGTCAGGTAATTGAAAGGCAATTACAAGGTCATTACTGGCTAGCACTTTAAAGTACCCTCCTTAAGTGCCCATCACCTAGACTGTGCCTTTTCCCCTATTTTTTATATGGGAATTATTTAATCCCAGCACCCGCAATCTGTCCTCAATTTCTTTGATAAGATAGTAGTGTGGAACTGGAAAAAAATAGACAATAAAAAGCGTGCACATTAATGAGTAATAATTAACGCCTTTCGAACGAACCTTTTGCAGATAATTTCATTTCAAACCAAAGTCAAGCAAAACAAATCTTAAACTTTATAGGCCGGGTATTTATGGGTTAAATAGGGATGGGATGGGAAATTTTTCAAGAACTATTAATGTTAAATAGAGTACTAGCTTTTAATATAGTTACTATTATTTTTTAGATTAGTAAGCACACGTGTGATAGATTATTTTTTAGGACAATAGTCCCTAATATTAACCGATTCGATCGCCACCGATTTACGCAAACGGTTGGGGACTTCGAGGCTGGTCGGCAACAACACAAAATTGAATTAAACACACGCCAAGAGCGAAAGCCGGCTGGTATTATGTAAGCGATTTGACAATGCCCGCAAATTGTTTATTCAAATTGATGGAAGCGCGTCTTTGCTTTAAACATTTCGATCATTTTTTTTTTAGTATAATTTTCTTTCTTTCCACCCATTTGTGTGTCAGCGTGGCGGCGTC